CTTACTTCAAGATTTTTGTGTGCATTTCATTTGTCCAGCATTGCTATACTGTGAAACAATCAGCCACACAAATTGCTTCTTACCAAGTATTCCACGAACGGATTAAGCATATTGATATTGACTGCCACATTGTGAGACAGAAAATTAATGATGGTCTGATAAAACTTCTACCCATATCCTCATCTCTTCAGCTTGCCGATGTTTACACTAAAGCTTTATCTCCCACACTGTTCCAAACTATTTGTTCCAAGCTGGGAATGCTTAATATTCATTCCCAGCTTGAGGGGGCGCTCTTAACTACTACTCTGCTTATTTTTTATTTTCACTTTTTCATTTTCTTTCTGTTAAGAGCTTTTTGTTGCTTAGTTTGTTAGCGCATTTTTTTCTGTTAGGGCTTTCTCTTTCTTTTCTGTTGCGTTACACTCATTGAATAAATACACTCCTTTGTATCATAATAATATAGTGAGCTTACATTGATCATTCTCTTCACCCTTTCTCTTCGATTGTATCTCTGATACTCCTCATGGGGACCCGTGTTGAATAATATGGACACATGCCAATTTTGGCGCCTTACCAAGACCAAAACTAATTCCTAGTCAACTGAAGTACTAGCACAATTTAGAACATAATAGCAAAAGATGTTGACTTTTGTGACAATTGAAGCTTCTGCTTCAGCTTCTTTGACTTACAGCAGAGCTACCGCATCACAAAATTAGCATGAGGTAAAAAGGAATATAAACTTTTTCAACTTGACGAAAAGTCAATGGTATAATACCTCCTGTTATTGAAGTAAATGGTCATAATGTTCCTCTCTATACACATTTTTTGAGAAAATGCATATCTAAAAAGATACATTCTTTACCTTACAGAATCTATATTTCTTCCTTCCTGGACCAAAAATTATGTCATTAGTGACCTTATTTCCATCAGATTCCTGTTACATTTGGAACACCAACATTTTTCAATATGAAGTATAGAAATAGGATACAACAAGGGAGAAGGACACAGGAATGATTATACAAATGATAACTGAGAAAGCATTGCAAGTTAATTTTAGAGTTCAATGTGTAGAACTTTCAGAAGACAGAATCATCAGAATTCTCAATTTAAAAAAGGGACCTTTAAAAGAACTTGATGATTTTTTTTTTTTAAATGACTAAATAATTAAATACTGAATCTTGTGGGCTTATTTAGTCCCATTTAACATTAAGAAGCATAACAATAGCACCTAGGTATTGAAAAATAATCTAAGTTCATATTGACTAGAAATAGTGTTTGAATAGTGTATATAAGTGAGGAGACAATTCTTGTCTTTCTATTTAGGTTTTGAGTTTGGGACAGATATAAATCCAAATATTAAATACGGAATAGTCCAAGCTCTTCTTATTTCTTTCATACAAGAAAGAATACAGCATACCTGAAGTGAATAGAAGAGATATGTCAATACTTATATACTTTAACTTTAGATCAGAGATGCTTCTATTTTTCAGAATTCTCACATTCTATGCCACACCCACCCTCTACATTTAACAAAGATTTCTTTTGCTCACGAAACAAAGGAAATGTTTATCATCACTATAGCTAGTCATTTTAAATATACACAATGCAAGAACAGTGATTGAGTGAACAGAGATATGTTAAAGTGCTAAGTAATAAAAGCATAATCAAATCAACCTCAGCAACAACAAGACTATTTGAGGAGAGGTCACAAAGGAGAAGATTTTGTGACAGACATACCATTTTGGAAAGTAGCTCCTCCTTGTAGGGTCTATCAAGACCTGTTACTCTAATGAAATTTGCATAGAGGGGCTCATCAAGCACCTCTATGTCATCCCTCTGAGTAGCACAAATGAAACACGGATAAGCATGAAAACACCTTTATCAGAAATAAGATTCTCGGGTAATCATCAAAAGCAAAGCGAAATTTCAATTAATTGATGGAACCATTCTTCTATCAGTAGAATACTAGGTACACATTTATTGAACAGACTCACAAAATCATGATAGTTCCTAGTTTGCACTCAACGGAATACATTGGCATGAAAAAAGGTGAGTGTGAGAGATACCTGAGCAAAAGAATACATGAGACTGGTACTGAGGGATCTTGGAGCAGACCATGAATGAATCACTTCCACTTCACTCTCCGCCATCTCTGAGTTCACCATGCTAAGCTAAGTTTTTCTTTCTGATTCAATTTGATTAGAATATTATCAGCAACAGCGATGGAATCGACTGGATAGCCACTTTTCTGTTCGAGAATCACAATAAAATAGAATATAAAAAGATGGGGCCAAATCTGGCAACAGGAACCAAACCAACAAATTCCGAGGAATCTCAAAGAAGTTTATGTTAAATTTGGTGACGATTTTACTTCTATCCTCTGAAAATAAAAAATAAAAAATAAAAAAATGGTAACTAGGGAAGTACTATGGTCTCGTAATTAATTTATACTAACCGACACGTGACTAAATGCATTTTGTTTGGTTGTGTGTAGTAAGTTATCACTGATTTCAACTTAGAAGTGCATAAAGAAGATGAAGAGTGGTTTGATTTGAATGCCATTAAATGTAACTCCCAGAAATTGAACAATAGATACTACAAAAATTTACTACCTAATTATTAAGGTTACTGTTACTGTTAGCATATTAAAATATTAATATTTATATTAATTTTAGTTTTATATTATTAATAAATATGTATAGGTGAATAATTTGTTTGAGAGTAACCATTGAAATACTATTTTTGTGTTATTTTATATAAGTTATTTGAGATAGTTTTACAAGTAATTAATAAATATAATTTTATTGAAGCCAATTTTATAAATCATGAAGCTTTCGTATCTTCACGAAGGTCAACATAATGAATATCTTAGCACAATACTCTACTCTGTGGGTATTTTTATTAAAATATTGTTTTATGTATACTATTTGAGATCTTTATGCTAATTATATTATTAAATATAGCATTAACAATTGATTTATGTAAAAAAATACAATAAAATAAATTGTTTTTAACAGAATTTTTTCTCTTAATTGTATTGCTTTTCATTTAAAACCTTATTTTAAAAAGACTGAAACGCCAATTTGACATTAAATATCAAATTTTACTTTTATTTTGTTTAAATTTTTATTCATATTATCCAAAATTATTTTTGAATTTTGCACCGAAAACCAGATGACAATTAAACCCATCCCCACCCCGAGTTTGACTGGAAAAACCTGAGTTGACCGGAGACGAGGCGGGTTCGGGTTTTCCAGCTTAAAAGTCGGGGCGGGCGGGGATGGGTAATACAATCCCCACCCCGACCCCGTCCCCGTCCTCGCCCGACTTTATATTTAAATTTAAATTTTAAAATATTAATATTATAAAAGTATTTCCTTTTCTTTTTTACGTATAAGGTAATTTTTTTATATTTCACCAAATTTTTTTCTTCTACCCACTTTTTAATTTTTTTATCTTTTTTAATCTTTTATATCAATTAATTTATTACATTATTATTTCTCTTACCTTTCGAGTTTTTCACATCTCCTTAATCTCTCCCATCAATTTTGTTTTCAATCTTTTCAACCAATTTGATGAACACAAAGTTATTTTTTTTATTCTTTATCTTTTTCTAAATATTTTACATAAAGTAGTAACTAATATTATTTTATTTATAATTTATATTTATTAGGTTTTATTATGTCATATTTTTTATCTTATTATTCTTGTTTATCATATATCAAATTTTATCTTAATAAAATAATTGTATTTTAAAGGATGAAAAGAATTGATAATTTAAATTTTTATTATTTCGAACTAATTGAATAAGAATTAACTTATTAAATATTTCCTTATAAACAATATATTTCATATTTTTAAATGACAACTTAAAAATGAATTAACTTATATATATAATCAAATGTTTGAATACAGTATTATAATAATAGTGTTATAAATATTCAAATATTTGAATACGAGTGTTATAATAATAATAATATTATAAATAAAAAATAATTAAATATTTCTTTTACATACATATTTTAATATAAATATAATAAATTAAAATGTATATTTAATTAATAATAATTATAAATTATAAATATTTATTTATATATAAAAAATAGATAATAAAATTAATTCATTATAAATATAATTATTTTTTAAAAAATAATATAAATCAGGATGGGACGGAGACAAGAAACTCGAAACCCAAGAAGGATGGGGATGTGGACTTAATCGGGGATAGTTAAGAAAGTCATGAGCGGGGCTAAAACCGCCCCACCCGCCCGCCCCGCCCCGCCCCCCTGCCATGCACCAGACCCTATCCTACTTTTTTTTGAAGAAGTTAATTTCACGTGCACACGTGTTTTCCTCTGTCTATCCAATTCTCATCCCCAAAAATGTCCATACCTACTAAGTGACTATAATTTTCACTAAATACCTTTTTTGCTTCATTTATTTCTTTAATCTCTCTCAACTCCCAAAAATATAATAATCTCTATTTTATTTCTCATAGATTACCATTCACCCTTTTAATTTTCATCTACCTAATTATTTTCCCTCTATCAATGAGAGCCTTAGTTAATAGGTTAAACCTAAACAGAACATAACAAATCCTATACATTCCATTTTATGTTCAGTGTGTTTATTAAAATCAAACAGAACAAAACACCAAGTAAAAAGTGATGCATTTTAATTTCACTATAAATGATGGAAAAACAAAGGACAGAAACTAACTAAGATAGGTTGACCATCAATATCCCCATCTCGACCAAAGAGAAAATATGAAAAAGAACTTATATAGATATAAAGAGAAAAATTAGGAAAATTTCAACTTTAGGTAGAATCTGAAATAAATAACTCTCCAAAAATTCTTCCTCTAAACAAACTATAACAAATGATTTAAAGTCATTAATTTTTCTATCTCTTGCAATTCTCTTACAAAATCCTGATAATTTCTCAATCACTTCACCATGTATAAGAACCTTACAAGTAAAAAACAAAAAAACAAATGATGCTTATTGCATATTACTGCAAGTGATACGCAATAGTCTTGCACTGGCTTGATTGTACGATTGCATGTAGCAGAGGAGATTTAGTGGCTTCAATGAATCAGTAAGGTCCACAATATCAAGGTTAGCTTGTTCCCCTAGGGACACAAAACAGTTGAAAGTTTCAATGTTTCTGATAACATATGCAATATAAGCCACTGGTGCTTCCTTTGGTACACTATTACTGTCACCATTATAACTTGCTTCGATTCTACTGTCACATATATCAATAGCATCTTCATGATTATGTTCACCATTTTCATGTTTAGTGTTTGGAGAGAGGCTCTTGCAACTTGCATGCTTTCTGCAAAAGTCCGTATTCATCTGATTTAAAAGAATGGCAAGTACTCGAACAAGATGTGGCAGGCAAACTGGATCATATATCACATCTGCACCCAAACTGGAATAGTAATATATTAAGAATGGCATCTGAATCCTGAACAAGTTTAAAGGAAGAGTATAAGAAATCAAGTTTTATCATGGAGTAGAAACTTCAGTTGAACTCTCACACAACATCTGGCTTGATATCTTGAAGTTGACTTTCTGATGCAGATTCCCACGGCAGATACAAGCATTTTACCTGATGTACATGGAACAGTTCATAATATATAACCTTGGCAACATACAATACAGGTTATATTCTCTTCTACCTACACATGCAAAACTCCATTACTTGAGGAAAATGTTTTCAAAAGGATGCAAATCCCACATACACCACCAGACAGCTTTGGTTTTAGCTTTTAGTACCATCTATCAGCACAGACTAGAATGGGACAAAAAAGACAAAATAAAAACTTCAAAAAGAAAATTTATAGACTAATCTTTTACAGACAAAATCTACAATCACATATTAAAACCATGCATTAAAAGCTCAGTATCATATGCAAAACCAGAGAGAAGAATGTTGTGAGGATTACATTTTTTATACATGAAAGAAAAATACAATGCACAGCCTGTGAAAATTCAGACTCACCATGTTCGGGTCTTTGTTTATTTCCGGCGTGTTAGCTTCAACATTCAGGTGGTTCAACTCCAAATTAGACTTCATGTTAGCTAAAGTTGATAGGTCACCATCACTTAATATCACCTGTTTATAGACAATAACAAGCTTCCAGTTGACAACATTCAACTACAATAATATCACCTAATATTACCCATATAATAATTAAATAAATAGCACATTTTATCGTTTAAATTTCACCGTTTTCTAACTAAAACATCATACTTTAATAACAGAAATGTCATCATTCAAAACGTCATGCATGAGCCATCATGTATACTTGGCCATACCTTGGAAGCTTGCACGTGGGCTAGACATAATCCAACTAAGCCAACTCCTGAACCAATCTATTTCAAATTTATAAGTGCACCAAGGTGAGAACAGAGATGAAAGCTAATTTTAATTCTATAAATGAAACCACAACAAAATTATAAACTGTACACAAATTTAAAACACACTAAGAGCCCAGTTACATCTTAGAGCCCCTCTGATAAATGAAGATAATCACATAATTGTCTCATCATCACATGCCAGGCCACTCATGACTGATAAACATTATTATTGCTACTAGATTCAACAAACTCAAACATGGAACTGACCTCAAAGCATGATTTATTAGAAAATAATTTTGGATGAGAAAGTATTAACTCCGACAAAAACAGACTTGATGGCCATATTGAGCATCTGCATAACCGAACCAATATCAACTTTAACAATTTAGTGCGGATTCCATAAAGATACACATGACATATGCATATTGAGGAGAGAATCATAAGAAGCTGTAGATAGGTCCAACAAATGCCAAATTAATGGCATTGCTGAATTCAACATAAGTTGTATTCTGGAGGAGCAAGGGTACTGATTATCATTTAGAATAACTTTTGCATTGACAAACAACACATAACAGCCCTGAATGTTGCATTCTATATGCATAGTCTTCTATGATATGAAAGATAAGCATACCCAGTATCACCTTCAAGCATGTTTAGAGAACACTGCAACGAAAAGACAAGTACCCTTGAGTGTGGACAACTTTGTAGTTCAGAACATCCTAGTCATTCCAGTTTCCCAGTCAAACGTAAGCTGAATGAAACAACATAAGAATAAATGGAGAAACATCATAATAATCACAATTTACCTTCAGGAAAAAGAAATGAAATTCTTTTGCAGATTCCACTTGCATCTCTCTTCCCCAAACTATCATCCTAACATCAAATAAAAAAAATAAAAATAAAAGATTATGAAAAAAATCTACCCGACCAAAGAAAAAGGAAGCTTGAAGAGAAAGTAGTTGATAGAAGAAAACCTTGAATGATGTCATGTAGTGAGCATAGATTTCGTACAAATTGTCCAACACATAGCCATGGTCTAACTCAACTTGAGTAATAAGTTTCTTGAGAAAATTCTTCAAGTAAGGAACATGAAAATCACCCTGAATTTTCCATTCTATCCCATCAATCAAGCCCAGCAATGAAAATTAATTTGGGTAAGTTCAATTCATTTTGACCTCTAATTTTTTTTTCTTTTAAAAGTGTTTAAATAAAAGTTGATCTGCCCAAAAAACAGAGAAAGCAGAAAATGAAAGATTACAGAAGTGGAAAGGCAATGGTCCCAGATGAATTGTTGAACTTGTTCCGTGATTGAGCCTCCACCACAAGCCCTGCAAGTCTAACTGTGTCACTGCCTTTTGAAGTCTTAAAGAAGAAGAAGAAGAAGAAGAAGAAGAAGAAGAAGAAGAAGAAGAAGAAGAAGAAGAAGGAATGAGGGAAGAGAAACCTGGCATGGGAGATTACACAGTGGGAAGGCTCCATGGCTTGGATTGCAGAAAGCAAATGGTGGGAAGAAGGGTGGGAAGGATCCAAGTCTTGCTCCATCGCCACTTCCACTGCCCGGCTCTGCCTTGGACGACCTCAAAACATGTGTTTTTCTATCGAAAACTCTTATTATTTACTTTATTATTTTTATATGGAAAATTACATTTACGTTTTTAATAAAATATAACAAAATATTACTTTTTTTAAATACTCATTTTTAATATATATATATATATATATATATATATATATATATATATATATATAAAGTCATTCACTTCCTTTATTTGAAAATAACAAATTTAATTAAAATAGAAAGGTATGAATAAAAGTTGAAAATTTTTATTTAGCCAAATTTAAGTTAAAAATGCTGAGTCTATAAAAAAAATATATTTATAGTTTGCTTAGACATTTTTAAGAGAATTTTTAATAAAAATTAATTAAAAATAAATATGAATATTTTATTAGAAATTCAACTTAAGTTATTTAAATTTGATTAGAATTATTTATATAAATAATTTTTTCTAATTTTAAATAAATTTTTTTAATTTTAAATAATTCTGAAATTCATAATAAAATATTATTTTTATTTGTAAGTAATTCTTATTAGCAACTTTTATTGTTATTATTACTTTGAAAATGTTATTTGAGTTTTGGTTTCATTGTTATTTTTACTCTTAAAAATTTATTTGAGTTTTGGTTTTTGTAAAACTTGTTTGGTTACGATGCTTTTCATTTTTGTTCTAGTCTTTGTAATAGTTTGTTTATTTTGTAATTGTATCTCTAGCAAATATTTGATAGAGATTAAAACCAAGATGTGATTATATTTTAGAAATTAAAAAAATATAAAAAAAACTATCCTTGATTATAATTTTGGATTTATTGAAAAAAAAATCTGAGTTAAATCAATCCATTTAAACATGAAGTTTAATTTTAACCTAACCCAACGATATACCTCGTCTATCACCCTAGTTATTTTGCCGGCAATAAAAGTATTTTCTTTCAAGTTAAATTAATTGACGTAAGAAAAGAAAAAATTCTGCCGTCACCAACACAACTTTTTAAGAGAAGAAATGCTATTTTTGTAGCAATTGATATACAACTTAATATTTGTAGCTTTTTTTACACAATTTATCACATGTCACAGAAATTTTACAGAAATATATACAAAATAATGTACAAATTATTGTATGAATTACATCGTGTGACACAATTCTTTTGGTATTTAAAGTGTTTATTTCTACATTTTTAATAATAAAAACAAAACAAAAAAAGTTATAAAATCTGATTGAATTCAAAACTTGTTTCGAATAGATTTTCATAAAATCAACTACTTCTTTTAGGAATCCCATAAAAAACAAACGCTATCAGCATAACTATTTTTATCTCTAAAAACAATATTTCCACCTGTTTCTTACCACCAATAGAGATTATTTTGGTCTGTCAAACTATAGATTTTATTAAGTTTTAGAGAATTTTATTTGGCTCCACTCTCATTTGGTTGCTTTATTTCTTTAATTATATTTTCATATGTTATAAATGATAGGTACAGGCTAGGGTACCAATCTGATTAAAGTTGCAGTAATGTATACTGATTCATGTCTATATTAGTTGTTCTGATGACAGAAGCTGACCTCCTGTCCAGTTTGATCTGCTTCATCAAAAGCAGATCTAGCATCATACATATGACATGAATCCTCAAGAAAAACTAAATTCTTCCTGGTCTTGCTTCTGTAAACACAATTGGTTAGGCATCAATAAATAAATTTTTGGAATTCCTTCTCTCTCTTTCATTCTTATTTTTTCCGCACTGCGTTTTTCTCTTCTCCCGCAACACCCACACCGTGCCTCGCCGCGCCTTCGTCGCCTGCTCTCCTTCTCCCTCCTCTGGCCGCGCTGACCTTAGGGTTTAGGTAAGCACCCCTGTTAAATTTCTTCTTGCTGTTTAGATTTGCTGTATTCCTTCGTTTGGATTTGCAATTTCTTCTTGAATCTGAAATGTAACCCTAACCCTAAGATAAATTGCAATCTGTGTATTCAGATGCTTGATTAGTACTCTATGCTATATATTGTAATGTAATGCTATAGATGTTGGTATGATATTTCTTATTGATAAACTTTGGCTTAAGATGTATTATGACGAAGAAAGCGGTGGGGAAGGAATAACATTGTATATTAAACTTCAGTAACATTATAAATATTTAGATTAAACTTTAGAAACATTCTAAATATTTAGATTAAACTTGAGAAACATTGTAAATATTTATTGCAGTGAAAATTATGCATATGTAAAGTTAGTAGCTTTAGGGGAACAGTGGCAAAGTATTGTCACTATTGAATAGAAAATCAGTAGCTTTAGTGAGAATTAGTGATAACTGGCTTATTAATTAGGAGTACAATTAATGAATTTGATTAGTGATTTCTTAAGTTGAACGAGAACCACCGCAAATGGATCAAATTGAAAATTCTTGAATTTCTACTATTTCCTCAAGTTCCACTCTTACTCATTGCGCAAATTTCGGTTGGAATATTGATTTAATTGCTCATATTGTTCTTTGACTGATTTAATTACTTTTTACACTTAGTCAATTTTCCTTTCAGGAACGACCGACAGCGATTGTGAAAGCAAGTTTGATCCTCACACGGTAATCTTATGCTGTTATATCAATTTTAATCTGGATTTTAGACTTGTATGTAATTTGGCAATACCTATTTCACTAATTTAATCTAATAAATTAACTGAAACACCCATTGGCCTTTCAAAATCACAAATCACTTTTAACATTGTGAGAGAATCTCTTTATCTTTTCATTATTTTTTATAAAATAACAATGTAAAATTAAAATATTTGGTATTAGAATAAATTATGATATTTTTAGCAATCATTTTTTTTATTAAAAAATAATATATTTAATTTATTAAAAACATTAAAATGTTAAAAAAAATTCTTTTTTGCCTTAATTTATATTTAAAGTTAGAATAAGAAAAATATATTTTAAAAAATAACTGTTTATTTTTTAAAATAACTATTTTGCCTAGTTGAAAATGATCCATCAAAAAGGTCAATAATGACGATTTTTTTCCAAAAATAATATTATTATATTATATTATATATATATATATATATATATATATATATATATATATATACATAAGAGAACATCTCGAATAAAATTATTTATTTAACTGAGTCTCCGATAAAATTATTTATTTAACTCGAACCTCTTTTAGTGTTGTACTTGGGATTAGGTTTCTGAGAACTGAATTCCAATTTTAAACTGACCACTTTTTTTTAAATAAAAAAATTAAATAAAATATATAATTAAAAATAATAAAATTAATATTAAAAATAAAATTTTAATTTTAAAATTTAAATAATATTTATATAAAAAATAATAAAAAATATATATTATTTAAATATATATTAAATTATTTAAATAATTATTAAAAATATTAAATAATAAATTTTTATTATATTTTTTTATATATTTTTTAATAGGAAATTTAAAATTTATATATTTTTTTACTATATAAATTATTTAAGTTATAATTTTAGAAAAAAAAAGAATAAATAAAAAATTAATTTAGGTATTATATTAAAAAATTAAATATTATATTATAAAAATTTATGTAATAGTTTTTATTTGATAAATTATAAATATTATATTAACAAATTTATGCTAAATTTTTTTTTAAATAATAAAGTAAAAATATTATTTAATTAGTTAAAAATTATTATTATTAATATAAAATAAACTTAAAAATAAAAAATAATAAAAATTAACAGAATTTAATATATAATATTAAAAATAACATAATAATTGATAATAAAAATTGAAAAATAAAATTATTGACAATAATTTCAAGAAAATTTTAATCTTAAAAGTGGTATCCAGGTTTCACAACAAGGACGATGTCTATTATGTTTTGGATTTCGTTGGTGTGGTTGTTCTTGAATTTCGGGAGAAATTTGTGGAGAGTTTTCTTCTTCATAAACCTCTATTATTTTCACTTTATAAAAATTTTTCTATATTTATTATTTTTCTTTAATATCATGTTCTATAATTTTTATTTTACTATTAATAATTTATTTTTAATTTTAATTTTAATTTTAATATTTTATATATTAAATTTATTAATTTTTTTCTAAAATTATAACTTAAATAATTAATATAATAAAAAAATATATAAATTTTAAATTTCCTATTCAAAAATAAAAAAAATATAATAAAAAATTATTATTTAATATTTTTAATAATTATTTAAATATATTTAAATAATTTAATATATATTTAAATAATATATTATTTTTATTATTTTTTATATAAATATTATTTAAATTTTAAAATTAAAATTTTATTTTTAATATTAATTATATTATTTTTAATTATATATTTTATTTAAAAAAATAGTAAGTTTAAAATTAGAATTCCATTGAAGAAATATTAAATTTCAGGAAAACAGTGAAAAAAATTTTGATTAAATAATTTTATGAGAAATTTAATTAAGTAAATGATTTTATACATATTCTATTAAGTATATATATAATATAATAATATTATTTTAATAAAAAATTCAATTATAACGGCTGGTTACTTTTATAGTCTCAAGATATGAAATGACCATTTAGCCAATTTTTTTGTCAAATTTCGTACGAAAGACTCATTGGTCATTTATATCTTCCCTGTGTTGTAAGACCTATTGGACAAATAAAAATAGACCAAAGACCCATTGTCCAATCGTCTCTTTCCCTGTTTATAAAGGGCCAATAGGCTAAACCCTGTGTTCAGTTTAACCTGCTTCATCAAAAGCAACTCTCATTTCCTCCTGTTCTTGCTTCTGTAAACACAATTGGTTAGGTATCAATAAATAAATTTTTTGAATTCCTTCTCTCTCTTTCTTTCTTATTCTTTCCGTACTGCGTTTTTTTTTCTCTTCTCCTCCAACACCCGCATCGTGCCTCCTCACGCCTTCATCACCCGCTCTCCTTCTCCCTCTTCTGGCCTAGCTGGTCTTACCGTTTAGGTAGGTTTAGGTAACCACCCTGTTAAACTTCTTCTTGCTCTTTAGATTTGCTCTTTTCCTTCGTTTGGGTTTGCAATTTCTTCTTGAATCTGAAATGTAACCCTAACCCTAAGACAAATTACAACCTGTGTATTCTGATGCTTGATTGGTACTCTAATGCTATAGATTGTAATGTAATGCTATAGATGTTGGTATGATGTTTCTTATGTTGTGTTTCTAGTCCCTTGGCTTAGGATATATTATGATGAAGAAAAGGATGGGGAGAGAATAAGTATTAAAGGCTAAATTTTATAAATATTGTAGAATAAGTATTAAAGGCTAAATTTTATAAATATTGTAGAATAAGTATTTAGTGGAGTCAGACTTATGCTTATTTAATCTTTTTTTTTTTTACAGTTTTACCTAATGAGTTTGGATGAAAATGAGATTTTTAAATAATTCATGTTTGTTAGATATGAAAAATCGTCATATGATCATTACACCAGTTGAAACGATATCAGTTTATGATATAAAATTTATAGGAAGATTCATGAATCTAATTCGTATATCGATAAATATTTACTATTTGATGTACTTGTAACTATGCATAAATATCATACTTTTTATAAAATAGATTCGTCATTGAGCAGAATACATAATGATTCTTTAAGGAATTTTATTAAGATTGTGTTCAGGAGTCATTAATTGACCAGAAGGGCAGTTTAAAATTTCAAGACATTGAAAGCTTATAGAAAGATTCATATTTAAACTAAATGTTGGATCTAGTGGAAGTTTCACAGTATAACAATTGATGCAAACAATTATTCCTTCCACATCAAATGTCCAGAGAATGACAAATTTGCTGAAAGAGATTGGTTATGAGGGTCTTTAGGAGTCCAATATGCTGAAGATTTATAGTTTCTATAAAAAATTAGAGTAAAATAAAAGTAATGGTTGATCTACTATTGTGGTCTAACATCTGCTAAATATTTGGTGGTATCAAATGAAACACCAAAATTTAGAACAAATTTTCTTTTTAGTGTTTTAAATGAGATTAAAGCAAATTTTCGTCGTTTTACCTCTTCAATTAACTCTTGTAAAAGAACAAAGAGTAAATAAAAATATACAAATTACGTATTTATTTTGTAATTTAAAATTATTCAGACTTCAAATATGTTTATCTATTTTTTTACTCCACATGTTGTTGGACTAACATGGTAATTGAACTAATTTTAATATCAACAACGATTATTCTACTTTATACTATTGTCTTAGGTGCTGCTTCTTCATCTCTGTTGTCCCAACTACCTTTATTAACTTATTCAATTATTATAATTTTATAATGTTGTTATGAGGTTACTCGTTGTTTCAACATATTGTATCATAACCAATCTCCTTCAATAAATTTGTTATTTTCTTGTTCTCTCAAACATACTAAATTAAGAATAATTAAATATTTAAAATAATAATTAATTAAACATTATAAAATTACAATAATTGGATAAGTTATCATAAGTGATTAAGACAACAAAGATGGAGAAACATATAACATTATAAAATTTCAACAATTTGATAAATTGACGAAGTGGTTGAGACAATTGAGATAGAGAAGTAGCACCTAACACAACGAGTAATTTGTATTAGTATATAGTAGAATAATCGTTGCTGATATTAAAATTATCAAGTTCAATTACCAAATAGATGAACATATTTTAAGTCTGAATAATTTTTAAATTGCAAAGAAAATGTATAACTTGCATATTTTCACTTATTCTGTGTTCTTTTACGAGAGTTAATTGAAGAGGTAGAATGACGAGAATTTGCTTTAGTCTCATTTAAAGTACTAAGAAGAAAATCTGCTCTACATTTTGGTGTTTCATTTGATAGTACCGAATATTTAGCAGATGTTGGGTCACAATGGTGGATCAACCTGTGTTTTTGTTCTACATTAATTTTTTTATAGAAGCTGCAAATCTTCAGCATATTGGACTGCTAAAGACCCACATAACCAATTTCGTTCAATAAGTTTGTCATTCCCTAGACAGTTGATGTAGAAGAAAAAATTATTTACATCGGTTGTTACATTGTAAATCTTTCACTAGATCTAATATTTTCCATGAAATTTTCTAGACAATTTAAAAATGAATTTTTCTTCAAGCTTTCAATGTCTTCAAATTTTAAACTGTCATTTTGGTTGAGTAATAACTCACTAAACACATTCTTAGTAGAATTCTTTAAAGAATTATTCTGCTTAATAACGGATCTACTTTATAGAAAGTATGATATTTATGTACAGTTGCAAATATATCAGATAATAAATATTTATCGATATACGGATTGAATTCATGAGTTTTTCTGGAAATTTCATGTCTTAAACTGATGTCGTTCCAATTAGAGTATTGGTCATATAACGATATTTCATATATAGCAAACACGAGTTGTTTAAAAATCTCACTTTCATCCAAACTCATTATGTAAGATTGCAAAAAAGAAAATAGATTATATATGCATGATTCTAAATGCTTAGTCTACAATGTTTCTGAAGTTTAGTCTACAATACTTATTCCCTCCTATCGTAACTAGCGTCACGACAGGATTGACAGAAAATCATTTGAACTTAAACTATAGAAAAATCATTAAACAATGGATAAAACAGTTTACAAAACCAAATTTAGGTTTGGGGATCGACTACGCGTAGGGAAGGTATTAACATTACGTCAGTCTTAGGACAATTATTTTTAATTAAATGTGCAAAATAAATATGTTCTTTTTTTTAATATTTGTATTTCTCCTAAGTTAAATAAAATAATGTGATTATCAAACTAATTTTAAATAATTTTTTTTTATCAAGGAAAATATGTTTTTGTGCTCGACAAGGTGTTGACCTTGTTCCTACGTATTTTTATTTGTGGAAGAAAATCAGGATCACTTAGTTTTGTCTAGAAAATACCTATGTGGTCTCATGTGAGCTTCGTCGCAAGGCAACTTCTCTAGAGTAGTTTTTGGCATAACATTCAAGGAAGACCTATTATCTATAAACACTCTTGCTATAAAATGATTAAGACACTTAATTGAGATGTGAAGAGCTTTGTTATGTCCTTTTCCTTCCATTGGAATCTCATCATTAGTAAAAGTAAGGTAATTGCTTACAGCAATATTACTAATGAGATCTTGACTAGTATATGATTTAGTTGATCAACTACCTTATACGCACTTTGTTGAATGAACTTAAGGAATTCACATGTTTCTTCATCATATACTTCCCATCTCACCTGCCCCTTATCTTTCTTGGAGTTTTATTCAATTTGCATTGCATTTCCCTTCAAAAACCTTTTTGCCTCTTTTGTTGTGACTTCTCCATCTTTACTTTTATAATTCACTTCGCTTCTCCACTTAGGTATGTAAAGAAACGACCACTTCTAATCACGCTACCTATCCCGAATATATTACCAATAACTAAGGTATCATTAATAGGGGCCTGATTCACCTGTTCTTCTTGTCGTTCATTTATTACATATGCCTTATATGTTAGACAAATGACATCTAAAGAAGAGGTGAATAGATGCACAAATTAAAATAGACGTCAAATTAAAAATTTATTTTAGATATCCAATAACTTGTTAATTCAATTTTAATTATCAGATTGAAATAAGATAAAACGAAAATAATATAATCAGAAATATATAGGGAAAAATAAACAAAAGCCAAGAGTACATACTAATTTATACTGGTTCGAGTATAACCAATTCCACATCCAGTTCCTGGTCACCTCTAACACAAGAGTGACCCCAATTCACTATTTTTAAAATTCAGTTTATAAATTACAATCAACTTACCAGAAGAATCAGTAAAAAGTAAACTAATTAAAAAGACAATCACATCCTTAGAAACCCACTAAGGATGAACACCTCCATTGAACAAATCAAATGATGAAAAACACCTCTTTTGTAACCAACACAAAGGATGAACACCTCCTTAGAATCACACTAGGAATGAACACCTCCTCGAATAAATCAAAGAGATGAAAACACCTCCTTAGAATCTCACTAAAGATGAATACCTCCCCGAATAAATCAAAGGGATGAAAACACCTCCTTGAACAAATTTGAAACTCCAAACACACTGCTCAAGAAACAGTGCAACCACCTCAACCCTAAAAAGGGGATTTAACAGCAATTACTTAAACTTTAAATAGGAAATTTAACACCAACTTCCTAAAAAGGGTAAAGACAATATATAAGAATAGACACATATGGGTAATAAAGACAACAAATTGTAGAAGTCTGTAAAATGATAACTCTAAGAACATAGCGTGATTGACAGTAAAAACGTAGAAGACACTATGAAAAAGTTTTCTCAAAAAACCTAAAAGTGATATGTTGTCTTGCTCAAAAATTTTTTCTCAAAATTGATTGACTGTAAGTTGAATTTTCGAATTCTGTAATTGTGTGTTTTTTATTTTTTATCAAAACTCATTTAAAGAGGAAAATAACTTCAAAAAATAGTAATTGGTCATTAATACTTTCGTAGAGAAAAATCAGAATGTATTAAAAAATATTTATTCTTCAAAATCAGATATATTTTTCAAATTTGAATTGCCATAATCGATTATGTTACCAGTATAATCGATTATGACAAAGAGAAAATGGTTTTTTTATTTCTGATGCATCATAATTGATTATGACAGTGAAAAATGTCATATTACGAAATTTTATCACACTTGTGTTTTGGAGGCTTATACATAATACCACTTCATCAACTTGTACCTCCAAATCCAGTATTTTAAGACTTTATCTAGTCTTCACGCTTCATCTTAGCTTGCTTGAATCTTGAATAGAATCTTTATCAAAATCATATCTTGAGCTTGCTTGAGTTTTGAATGTTGATTTGAATCATCATCAAAATCATCTCTTGGGAATGTAAGAACATGTTTCACATTTACATCAATCTCTCCCTCAATGCTTTCATTATATTTCCAAGGGACGGTGTCTGAATCTCAATAGGTTTTATGAGTGGGGAAATGGTCTTAGTGAAGTGAATCACTAATGGTTTAGGTACCACAAAATCTCTCTCTTTGTTGGACTGCATCAAAACTTCTTCTTTTCTTTGATGGCTAATTTGCACTAGGTTCATATCAATTAACTTTTGTAATATATGCTTAAACTCTTTAGATTGCTCAATGGAATGGCTCACATTGATGGAAATAATCTCCTCCTTCCACCAATGAGATGCCCAAGTCCACACCTTAAGCTCTCAAGTAACCGAAAATTGTTTTCCAAGTTTTAAAAGTTCCAAGTTTCAAAAGACGAGTACTAGCTCCTCCAAGAAAGGTTCCTTGTTTAGGAGACAAGGAAAAGAAAATCTTCAACAGTCACTTGAAGTCAAGCCAAAACGAGATACAAGTAAAATTACAAGTTTCACTCACTAAGCTTAGATTTCACTCAAATGTGTCAAAGAAGCTACACAAGGGGTTATATTTATAGTGTTTTCCTTCTGATCCACTTCAAGAATAATTTAGAGATGTGGGACTTATTCTACTTTTATGTGAAACACTAAAAATGGACTCTAGAAGTCCTACATTATTTTCTTCTATGCTTTCTTATGAATTTATATATCATTTTGAATACAATGGATTACAAGTACTTGTGTTGATGCAGCGTATGTTCCCTCTTGTGGTCCTCTTTCGGATTGTGTAGTTGAACTCTCACAACATCTGGCATCATAACTTGAAGTTGACTTTCTGATGCAGATTCCCACGACAGATACATGGATCAATGCATGATACAGAACCTTAATAAATACCGTCCAGGCTATATACAAGCAAAAACCAATACTTCAAAAACTGAACAATTTCTCAAATGGTGCAGAATCCACTATCAGATGAACAAAAAAACTATCACATATTCATGCACTAGAAACTGTTGACACGAATGATGGGGAAATATGTTGGAGTAAGCACATCAGCGCTCTGCAAGAAGGTAAGTAGAAACTCAAGATTTAATATAATGGAAATTACTATTTATACCAGTTTAGCAAAAAGCTCAGTATCTATCATATACTGTGAGAATTACATTTTCTATATATGAAAGCAAAATCCTACACACAGTCTACTCAAATTCAGACTCACCATGTTTGAATCATTGTTTCTTTGCCGCATGTCAGCTTCAATATTCAGGTGGTTCAACTCCAAATTCAATTTCATGTTAGCTAAAGTTGATAGGTCACCATCACTTAATATAACCTGTTGATAGATTACAATCACAACTCCTAGTTGACTAAATTCAATTACAATAGTATCACCTAATATTACTCATATGATAATTAGTTGGCCATACCTTGGAAGCTTTCACATGTGCTAGACATAATCCAATTAAGCCAACTCCTGAACCAACATATTTAAAATTTTAAAGAAGTGCACCAAGGGATAATAAGAACAGCTGAAAGCTAATCTTAATGCAACAAATGAAATGACAAGAATTTATGAAAAGAACACAAAAATTTCAAGCATTGCAAGGGCACAATTATATCTAAGAGGCTCTCCAATAAGTGATGATGATCACAAAATTGTTGCATGTGCTAGATCTTAAACATGTAATTGACCTCAAAGCATGTTTTATTAGAAAATAATTCTAGATGAGAAAGTATGAACTCAGCCAAAAACAGACCAGGTGTCCATATTGAGCAACTGCACAACCAAACCAATACCAACTTTAAACTTCAATGCAGGTTCCACAAACATACACATAACATATGCTTATTGAGGGAGGAGTTATTCGAAGCGGTAAGTAGATAGATCCAACAAATGCTCAAATTAATGGCATTGCTGAATTGAACACAAGTTGTATTATCAGAGAGCAAGAGCACTGATTATCATTTAAGAACTTTTGCATTTTCAAACAACACATAGCAACCTTGAAATGTTGCATTCTATATGCATAGTTTTTTATGATATGAAGTATGAGCATACCCAGTACCACCTTCAAGCATGTTCACAGAACACTGCAATGGAAAGACCAGTTCCCTAGAGTGCGGACAACTTTGCAGTTCAGAACAACCTAGCCATACCAGCTTACCAGCCAAAGGTAAGGTGAATGAAACAACATCATAAGAATAAATGGAGAAACATCACTAGAATCACTATTTACCTTCAGGAAAAAGAAACGAAATTCTTTTGCAGACTCTGACATCTCTCTTCCCTAAACTATCATCTAAAAAAGGAAAAAGAAAATTGTTGATAGAAGAAAACCTTGAATGATGCCATATAGTGAGCATAGAGTTCGTACAAGTTGTCCAAGACATAGCCATGGTCTAACTCAATTTGAGCGATCCGTTTCTTGAGAAAATTCTTCAGGTAAGGAGAATGAAAATCACCCTGCATTTAGTATTGCATCCAATTAATGCAATCATAAGTAAAAAAATTAAAAGAACAAAAATAAAAGAGAGAATAAAAAATTACAGGAGTGGAGAGGCAATGGTCCCAGATGAATTATTGGACTTGCTCCGTGATTAAGCCTCCACCACACGCCCTGCTTACCTAACTCTGTCACTACTTTTTGAAGTCCTAACCGAAATAGAAAGAATAAGAAGAAGGAGTGAAGGAAGAGAAACCTGGCATGGAAGATTAAGCATTCGGAAGGTTCCATGGCGAGAATTGCAGAAAGAAGACGCCGGCGACAAGGGAGCGAGGGATCCAACTCTTGCTCCATCGCCATCGCCATCGCCACTCACTGCAGCAACCTCCTTCGCCATTCAAAACATGGGCTTTCCACTTTGCTCCACATTGGGCTTCTAGCCCAAAAAACCTTTGGGCCTCACACGTCTTACAAGGGACTCTCACTTTTAAACATTTTCTTAATATTTTAAATTTTTTTGTTTAATTTTTTTAATTTTTTTGTTTAATATTTTAAAGAAATTGTATTCTTAATAAATTAAAAATTGTATTTTATATAAATTTCAATTTAATTATTATAAACCCTATTATTGTGCATAATAAGTTATAATTGAACAATAGTATAACACCATATAATATTTACTTATTTTAAAAATAATTTCTGGAATTTTATAAAATAGTTTTGTTCAATTCAAAATTTACATGCTATAATATTAGGAGTTAAAATGTTAAAAGTTTATGAACTAGTTAATGATTTGCAATACAGTTTATTAAATGTAAAATATGTATTCTGAAACCTATTTCAGTGTGAAGAGGTGTAAGAAGAAATTGGTAAAAAGAAAAACAATCTGCTTGTGGCTTGTGAAGATAAAAACTTGAAACATTTTTCCTGCATCATTTATAAAAGTTGTCAATCTTCTGGAGTTGTCAATTAAAAGAAACTTCAATCAGTAGTTTAAGTGGATAGAAAGCGAATCCCTCTGGAGCCAGTTGTCTTTCTAAAGGGCATGAAGCTAAGCTACCCATTCCCTGATTCAAGAATATGGTTTGTAGATGAAGTATTGGGTAGGGATGATAAGTACAATGAAGCCGTTCTTAACACAGCCAAAAGGCCCAAATTTAAAGACTATAAACGGGAGTCTAACTTCAAATCAGGGAAGAGATTGATGAGACTCTTGTAGTTGGAGGTTTGTTGGCCATTGCGTTCGTTGTTCCTATGGCACAATATTATGCTTATGTATCCAAAAAGTGAGCTTCAGAAAGTCGTAGAATAAAATCAGAGTTTTGGCCCACAATTCCAAAGTAAATGCATTGAACTACCACATAAATCTTTTTTACACTTGCTGCTTAAGTTCATTTCAGAGGGTCGAGTTTACTGCATTATTATGGCGCATTAACCATGTATAAAACTGACAAGAAGAACCTATACCAAATGTGTTTAAGCCAAAAGGACCTATTAGATAGTATATAAAATGCAAAGGAACAATGAGGCCTGACTGTGTCAATTACGAATCCTTGAACATTATACACAGACCATTGATAAGAGCTTAACTGACATTCAGAGTTACAATCACCTGTTGCTTTGAAGATAAAAGTACATAAAGAATCAAATAATGATAGCAATAAATAGAATAGGGTATTCAGAACTTGAGCTTAAGTAGGAAGGGCATCTTGTCTGAGAAAGGAGGATCAGAGTACTTTCCAGTGAGAATTTGTGATGCTACGTATTGATTAGCAGTCTCAGTGTAATGAATCCCGTCCCAGCTTATGTAATCACTGGTATCATTGCAAGCTTTTGCTGTAATTGTGGTTCCGTTGAAGGTCTTTGTTTCCCCGCAGGAAACTCGACTATCATAGTTCAGTGGTGGACCTCCGAATCCACAACAAGCCATTATAGGTTGTTCAAACCCTGCAAAGAAGCAATAATACAAAATTAACTGATTTTCCTTCCACAAATTCTGTTGTGATAGATCATAGAATAGAAGGTAAAATTTGGTATTATGATTGATAGGGTCCTTATTGAGCCAATAAATTGAACAGGTTTCTGGCATTTCTTACTACTTTGAAGTATATTTGCTTCGATCACTGAGAAAAAGGTTAAAGTCCTAACAAAACAAAGGAACAAATCAACAAAGAACAAATTCCTGGAATAAACGTTGCATTGTCAGCACAAGTGACAATTGATGACAAAGCCATCAGAGAAATTTCTATTTACAGATTTTAACATCGAAAAGTTTTAGCCTAAAACTCTTGGAAACGGTAAATATCCAAAGTCAAAACTGTAAAACTGAAACGCCTAAAATAAACAAAAGTTACTCAGAGAAGCTAACCGTATCTAGAAAAGTTTGCAATGAGGTTTGATTTTATAGAGTAGATATCAACGAATGTGACATTTGAATCTGGATATTGGCCCTGCAATTTAGTGCAGAGAGCGTGTAGTTGTAGGTTAAAGGTTTTAGCAGCTTGGTTGTGTGAACTAACACAACCTAGTTCGTCAAGCTTTGATGCATCAGTTCCAAATTTGGCAATGTTCTGAGGCAAGCATCCTAGAGGACCTGTATTGTGTATCCAGAAATATCTGGCCCCCTGGTCATAGAGATCCTAGTTTAGACAAATAAAAAGTTAGAACTCGTTTGTACTAATCTCAGCAAAACTGTGTATATATAACCTATTGATTCATTATTTGAAGAAAATTTTGGAATAAAATTTCCCAAACATTATACAAAAGTAGAAGCATATTATTTGACACCAACCTTTATTCCCTTTTCCAGTTCTAAAAGAATTGTCGGAATTGAGGCAAGTATTTGGTCCAATGTTTTTGAATAAAATGCTCCAGCAAGATCATTCTGGCCAATGTCAAACATGTACAATCCCTTCTCGAAAATATTTTCATCTGGGACGTACTTATCAAATTTCCGACCTGAAACATTGTGATTTTTCTTTTTAACACGAATGAATGAATGAGTCACGAAGCAACCGACAGCAAACTAGTTGTGCCGCCAAAGTAGTAATGCAAAAATCAATTTTGAAAACAAAGAATTCAATTTCAATAATTTGTATAATAAATACTTTTATTAAAGATGAACCTAGATTACCAATATGAAATTATATGCAAATGTTGTCCTTTAGCAGATACCTTTTGCGATCAATTCAAGGGCCCTAGCTTTGAATCGGAGGAACTGAGCCACCTGAACGCCAAAGGAGAAGGGGCAGAGGGATGATGAAGTGGCTGGGAGGATAGTTGCAGCTGCTGCAGCAAAGTTGCATCCTTTCCTAAAATTTGGCAAACCCAAAGAGTCTAGATAGGCATTTAGGAATGGCAAGTCCATAGCATCCACTGCAATGAAAAACCAACACCACATGGAACAATAAGTGCAAAATTTGTTTGCGGGGGAGAGGGAGACGTAATCATCTACTTGGGATCATGATGTGTAGGAAGAAATAGATGATGTGGGCATTGACAAAAAGAGGTTATAGAGATTACTAAGGAAATCGATGATGAGACGGCCATCAGAATATCTCCCCGATGGTATTTGGAAGTAAGTTTGTCCATTTGGTGGGTAAAGGCTCTCAAAACCAGCGGCAATAAGAGCACCAGTGTCAGAATTTGAATCGCCAAAGTTGAAAACTGCTGGAAAATCCAAGTGAAAGGATTTGGCACTAGGTATGGAGATGGCAATGAGGGTAAGAATCCGAAGGATACATGTGTTGGTGGCCATGGCTATTGACTACTATTGTAAGGAGGGATTTTAATCCATCCCAGCTTTGCTTGTGTTTCAAACATCTGCTAATAGGTAGTTTTCCATCTGACAATTGTAACACCAGATGTTTGTTTGTTTGGTTCGTATAACTTGTAGTGGAAGTAAGACACTCTTTTATATCAATAGAAGTATGATGAATTAAAGTACTACATTTCAGGTAGATGGCAAAGATATAACTTTAAACTAAAGACATTCGTTTTTATACTATGCAATCAATTAAAAATTTATATTTTTTTTTCTTTGTATTTGGAATGGATTATTCATTGTACGATATAACCTGAATCACTTTACCAAGGGAACAAGAGCATATACTATACTATGTATTTGGATAACAATATTATGTATTATAATTTAATTCAAAACCAAATCCTTAAGTAGCATTAGACTTTATTAATAACTAATTAAGAAATAATACATTTCAGTCTTTTTTATTTTTCTCATTTATATGTCATTAAAACGATTGATTTTTCGTATAATTATCAGCATTATCAAATTATTCCAATGATGTAATAATACGTTAAAGGACAATAATAACTAAATATACTAAAGAAAAATTAAAATCTGTAAAGACGAGAGTCAAACCATTTTCTTAATAGGAAGCAACTAAATACGGACAATGTAGCAGAAAGTTGAAGAAAAAACAAAAGGTTAAAGATGAATCAATCCCCTTTTGATGCTAAATGTTGGGAGGCTAGTTAATTCGGTGAAAATAAAGAAGCCGTAAACAATTTATCTTCTACCACTTTACCATAATTCGTTTGGAGTGTGATATTATAATTATTTTGTCGAAAAAAAAACTTTTAATATTTATTTATATTTATATTCGTGCTTAAAAGCTATTTGAGTAATGATTATAGCAACAATAGTAAATAATATAATTTGAAGGTATGATTAAAAATTACTTAGGAAGTCCACTATGAGACGGCCATCGCAGAACCTCCCAGATGGAAACTTGAAGTAATCCTGTCCATTGGGTGGGGCAACCTGAAAGCCCAACCCTGCAGCAAGGTCTCCTGTGTCCGAGTTTGAATCACCGAAGTTGAAAACTGCTGGGTATTTGAACTCCGCCGAATTTGTCATACCCAAACAGATGAAAAATAAGACAAACTGAAAAACTACATTCTTCGAAGCCATGGCACGTATTTTACACCTGTGTCCAATGGAACCAACTACCAACTAGATAAGCTAATACACTGTCATAATGGAAAATGATTCCGTGCCTTTTATATAAGCACACCCAATTGGTTGCTTCAAATAGCAAACGTGAAGTCTTACCTAAAAAACATTAAGACCCTTGCTTTAGATGGTAGAAAAGCAAATGAAACCCAAAAGGAAAACGTTCCTTGAGTTTGAATTACCATGCTATCCTTATATTACTACCGTCAACAGCTATTATATTAAGTGATTAGCGCAAGCCAGTGAGTGCAAGTCCTAAGTCCTTCGCTTAAGAGACCTAAACTCATTTTGGAAATGCCCCGGGGAGTTTTACCCAAAAAAAAAAAATGCGCTGGAGAGGGAAAGAGAAGACTGGGAAAACGAGAGAAATGGTAACGGAAACTTGAGAAAGTATTAATACAAAAGCAACGAGACGGTTTTTTCCTTGAGACGAATTGCACGCTTGTGGCTTGACTTGCATCTCCACGGGATTGTATTGCTTCACCTCGTAATCTTCAGCTACCCACCGTGAACCTTTACAGTTTACACTTCGCATTATAAATTCCTTAGCAAGATTTTTGATGGGCGACATTTGAGATTGATAAGGGCTAATGTCAGCTGTTTCCATTCTGTTGGAGTGATTCTGCATAGTTTATAAAGCAGCAGATTAGAGTGCCTGGATCAACTGCAGTCAAAATAACTGCAACGAATGACGTGACTGGACATGTAGATCTATCCAAGGGCCAAAGATCATGCTTCACGTTATTGATTGAACTGCCGCGTCTTACTGTTAGGAATCCAGATCTAAACACGGATACTCTCTATTGAAATTAACATGATATTGAATTCATCTCGTTCATCCATATGTTTTGAACATTAGTTTATAGGAGTAGTATCTCGTTCATCCAGATTACATTGCACACCAGACATCAGTGCATAAATTACAACCAGGGAATCCAGTGCCGCTTAACCTTAGGCTGTACAGCTATTGCGTTGCGTAGGAAAGTGTAAAAATCAAGACGAATTGAAGCAGTCTAAATGGTCCGTATTTTTCTACTTGTGAATTTATGGATCTACTGTGCAAAATGGTTGAATTCATTGAAGACACGTTCCAGAAAACAGCCATCAGTGCCAAATTATTGTTCATATAAAACAATTTTCGGGTTACGAACACAGGCTCACAAACGATGCTTTCGATTGTGATGCGATCCATGAAGTGGACATCTCAGCATATAATATGCTATTAGCCAGCCCCCAAAATGTCCAATAGTAAGTGAATCAGCATGAGACATCTTTATTATTTATATCCATTGGAACCGCAAACATCATTACTATTTTGATAGTCTTTAAAGGACCCGTCGTGGCAAGACATCATATAAGAATGATAGTTACTGCCAGCGTCTTGGAGAAGTGTAACCCAACCAGTGAAGGATGAAAGTCAGGGTACCTGAAATCGTATTCTGAAAAACGGAACCATTCGCTGCTCCCTTATAAACTAGAGAATCCGAGGAGGCGTCAACTTTGGCCCTGAGCATGCTATTCTCCCTTTTAAGCTGTAAAATTATAAGTGCAAACAAAATAAATATTTTGTATTATTCATACAACATTTATTTAGAAACTTTTAACATTACTACATGATAAACAGGTTTTAAAGTATTGTTGGTTGGAAAGTTTCCAAGAAAATGGGAAAGATGCTAAATTTTTATTTTCAGAGTAAATGCTGCATAGTCTTCTTAAATTTAATAAAAGATTAAACAATTAAGTTTATACTCTGTTACTTCTTTCTCCCCCTTTCACATTTTAACCAAGCCTAATATTAATCTGGTAAACAAGAATGAGCCCGAAAGGTTCAAAGTGACTGAATCGCTACTATCTTCACTGAGAGAAAGATTATCGCACATTTTTCTCGTACCTCATCAACAGTAGCTGTAAGCTTTTCCATGGCTGCTTGCAGCAAGGATATCATCTGTAAGGTGAGGTCTTCTATCTCTGACTCATCTTCAACTGACGGAGGATCAAAGAGAATGCCCTCTTGTATGAACAATTCCTCTAGTAACTTCACATCTTCAACATTAAATCTCTCCCTCAACTGTATTAGCATAAGGTTTATTACGAATTCTAATTACAAAGGGATTCTACAACAATATCCTCACCTTGTTCAAAATTCTAAAACTTGACTCGTCGCCGGATGGGGAAGCAGCACTGAAATTTGTGTCGTATTTGTGTTCACTGTAATTGACACGAGGCGACGCCTTTATATGTTTCGCCCTGCAATCAACAATTACAGCCACGAAAAAAAAAAACAAAAAAACTAAGTGTTTTGTAAAGAATTAAGATTTAAACTTTGTTTTTCAATTTTTTTATTGTGGCATATAAGATTTAAATTTTAAAAAATGAATTAATTGCGTATTTCTTATTAAAAATTTACTTGATTTATAAATAATTAAATAGCTTAAAAAGTATTAATATAATTAATAATTTAAAATAACAAATTAATTCAGTGAGTTATTTCTTTTTACTCTTTTTTATTATTATTAAGGATGATCATAATTATGAGTAAAGTTTGTTAAAAAAGAAAAAATCATGACAATTAAATAAGATGGGATTGATTTGAGTTTATCTATGAGAAAAAAAAAAATCGAAGGTAACAATTTTGATCCGTATCAATTTTATATATATCAAAAATTCGTTCAACCGGATTTTTTTCCGTTGCGAAAAGAGTTAGGTATTCCTAACTAATTTTATAAAAAATATATTTTTAAAAAATAATTTTTTTATCATATTGAACTAAATTTATTTATTATTTAAATACAAAATTTAATTATGAAAATAAAATTATATCATGTAATATACATTAAATAATATATTTAAAAAAAATAAATTTTTATCCTATAGAACTAAATTTAGTTATTATTTAAATACAAAATTTAATTATGAAAATAAAATTATCTCATATAATACAACTCTTTCTCCAACTTTTTTTCTACGTTTATTTCTTTTATATTTATTAATTTTTTCTCTTTTTTTTCTTTCGGCTCTCTCACTCTCTTAATTTCCTAATTAAAAATATTAAATTAAATTTTAACAAAATAATTTTTTTATCATTTATAAAAATAAAAATTTAAATAACCCAAAAATACTATATTTAATATATTATATTTTATATAATAAAATATTTAAGTATAATATATAATAATATATAACGAGTAGTTTATATACATATATAAATAATTATTAAATACCTTTTACATATATTTTAATATAAATATCATAAATTAAAATATATTCAATAATAATTATTTAAAAGTTATAAAATTATAAATATTTATATATAAAATAAAATTAAAATTAATTTATTATAATTATATTTTAAAATAATATAAGATAATAAAAAAGTCTTAACAAAATAAATCAAAAATATTTTATTATAATTATTGAAAAAAAAAACATAAAACAGAGACATAAAGGAAGTGGAATTTTTTTTTAAAGGTTGAAATTAAGGAGACAAATCAGGGCGGCCCTTGCCATGCCATTGGTAGTGCTCAACTCGAACGCTATCATGGAGGACAGATACCTTGCACCGAAACGAAGAGTAGACAGACTCTCGGATGCATTAAAAGCGTTGGGTGAGCAACAACAGAGCAATGCAGTTCTAGCATTTCCTCCCTGCCAATAAGAGATACAAGTTTGGGTTACTGATTTGGTAAACAATGGGTATGATTTGATATATTATAAAAAGGGAGGGTGGACTAACAAGAGCATCCTGAAGAATTCGTGTGAGTTTGGAATCACGATAAGGGATATGGCTTGCTTTTCCTTGCAAACCACATGTAAGAGAATTTATTACATTTCCTAGAGCTGACAATGATTTGTTTATGGTTTTGGCTTCCTCTAGAACTCTTCCCTCAGCTCCTGTTTTCTCCACTTTCTCTGACCCAGCCAAGTCCACTAGAATTAGTTTTCCGGACCTCGTCCTGTTCAGAGTCTCAGTGTTTAAGAATGATTCATCAGCAGAACAAGATTTAGGAAGAAGTGTGACCTTTTATCTCTGGAAAATTCTTGCTGAATTGTGAATATATAAATACAGTGACTTCTACTGCTGGCCACGTTCATTTCTACATGTTTTGTTTAGGATGTTTGCAGAAACAAAGTGTCTTCCCTATTTCCTATCACTCATTTTCCTCCCTAAAGATATAAGGGAATTTAACTTAATATATAAGTAGTTTAGCTATAGTTCTAACAATTTATTTCTTCACATTATAATTTCATTCTAAATTTGATTATTTTTTCGGTAAATCAATATATGTTCCCTTATTAACTTATGTTGCAGAAAAATATAATGTAATACTAACATGAGATGTAATTTATAGTTGTGTACATATTATTAGTGATATATCCAACACAATTATATAGATGTGATATGAGATATGTATTTATATGTATTAACATTTTAACCACATGTTATATTTTTTTATATAATTTAATGAATTTTGCAAAATAGAATATATGAACTCATTTTAGAAAATAATGAAATTAAATCAACGTGAAAAATAATAATAAAAAGATAAAATTGAAGAAAAAGGATTATATATATATATATATATATATATATATATATATATATATATATATATATATATATATATATATATATATATATATATATATATATATATATATATATATATATATATTCAACGGTGGGAAAGGGGGTCAAAGCAGGATACGGGTCTCACCAACTGCTCGGTTAGCTACCCCCCTCTACATATTTGAGATCAGAATTAGAAGCCAAAACACATAGTAAAATCAAACCAAAAGATGTTATTCTTACAGATAGGTTTTGCAATGCTTCAACAGGGTCCAGTACAGTGATCTGAATGAAAAACTTAAGGTCTCGTTAGTCCTATATGACAGGCAATAATTGAATAAGAAACACCAATTGTTTTCTTTTTTGTTTGTTTTTGGTTTGGGATTTAGACAAATGTTTTGTATCATACATATAAGAAGAGAAACTTCTAATGTTTCATATAAAAATACTAATTGATTCCGGTCTACTACTGTTGAATCAGCTCACGTACTAACAGCGACAAAATACTTCTTACCCTGACGACAACTCCAAAAGTTGTCCGACACAGTGGGCAGGATAAGTAACAGTAACACATGAGATCTCACGTCAAATAAAACTTAAATATTGTCTTTTTATGGGACACAAGTCCAAATCTACATTTTTGTTACTTGTGGTCATGGACGAAGACAGTAAGACCACAAACCCACATAAAGGCACACCCGGATCAGCACGATGACCTAGTTATTTGATATTACTCGTTAAATAAAATTTTATTTTCCCAGTTTCTTTGAATCACATCAAGGGACTCCAGTCAGAATAATCACAATAGGCCAAGCTAAGTTATCAAGTGTATGAATCTTAAAATGCTTGCCAAATAATCCCAATGCCTAGGTTTTTTATTATCAGGACTAGGTAGGATTCAAGTTTCAAAATTGAAATTTTACAGCTTAATCTTATATGTAAGAGCACATATTTAATTGTAAACAGCAAAGTAACTTCAGATAGAAAAAGAATAATCAGAATGGGACGAGATATAAATTTCCCATAAAAACAGCTCACCTCTGTAACGCCAGGCAAAATTATTCCTCGTGATTTACTCTCCTTAATTTGTATATTATCTTTTGATAAATCAAATAGGTCCCTATATAAGAGGATACAGTTATTCTGACGACTCTCTAAAACTCCAAATTCACATAAAAATAGCTTTTCCATCGAAGTTACGAAAATTCCCATTCAAAAACGCGTATAATATGCTCTGGAGTATAAATGGGGAGGGGCAATATGTTTTTCTATACATACCTTACTTTTTCCATGTAGATTTCAACCTGGACGAATCAGAAACAAAATCAGAGACATAATTTACTATAACCAAATGATTTGGTCAGATTGATGTGGTTTAATTAGCAAGTGTCTCGGTACCATTGACAATTTAATTGAATATGTTTTCTCTTCACCGTAAGAGTTTAAGGAATCGAAAAGTCCTTCTACAACTCTTGGAAGAAGTCCCTTCTTCTCTTCACCACATTCAAGTATACCAGGTCCCTGCTTCAGAGAAGTAGTTAATTTACATTGCTGTATTTTATGTTTTGCAATATCGTTTTAAGATACTTTTTACGTGACAATTTGTCCACCTCCATACTATATGTCTTCCCAGCTCCAGTCTGCAATTGATTGTACAAAATCCAAACTTATAAACAATTGGAGACGAACGAAAAATGGATTCTTCAATACTGTTGACAAGTTCTTCTGAAAATAAAAATTTGTAATAGTAATTGCGGCTGTCCCTCGTAATGGAAATATATGTAGCATATGTTCTTAAGCCAATAGGTAAAACAAAAGATCAACAGCCCAAGAGGAGTTTTCTGAATATTCAGGTCGTAACAAAAAAACTAAATTTACTAGCATGTAAGTTTAACAACATTGTAGATTTTCCAAATTGTCTATGCTAAATATTTAGAACTGTCTAGATTTTGCATCACGCGCCCATTCCTTACATCCAGATTAGCTAGCTTTAAATTCAACACGGATGCACAGAAACAGTTGAAATATTTCATGCCTCATCTACACTTTTTTTTAAGAAAAAAAAAAAAGTTTCCCCATCAAACATAACCAAAAAATAATTTCAAAAAGAGGAATTTCATAGCTATTGCAAGGGATCATATTCAGCGAAGCGCGTATGATGCCATATCTCTTATAATTTTCACAACTGCCGAGACACACGCAGCTGCCATGTCTGAGAAAAAAAAAACCCAGATGACCTTGCGTTGTTGATTTGAAAGTTTAACAAAAGTAAGCAAAAATCGTACCTGGCCATAAGTGATAATTGTCCCATTGAATGCATCAAGAACATCTGTTTCATTTATGGGAATAGATACAAAATGTAAAGCGTGATATCAATAAAGGTTATGATATATTCACCACCAAGGTTGTAAAAAACATACAATCGATAATAGTAATATCATTGTTCAGATATCATTTTTCATCAATAAAAACAAAACTATAATTAAAGCAAGTGTAATTTTCACGACTTTAACTGTTAAAAAACATTCCGAACTTTTAAAGTTTGAATGTACGACCGTGCAAACATACGCTACACTAAACAAACTATAAGGATAATTTTTTTCATATAAACGAATTTCATATGCACTATTTGGCAGTAATGAAGATGTCATTTCATAAGGAAGCAAAAGTCATTCAAATTAGGGATGATTTCAATCTGCATGCATTGACTGATTAGCATGTAAATTTGTAGTTGTACCCCTAACCATGGGAAGAGCTAGGAACTGATAGACATCAGCTTGCTCAGACTGTTCGTAGAACACTCTATCAAAGCTAAACACGGATTCTTCGTCCTTTTCGTCCTGACAAAAATTAATTCAAAAATATCAGGCTATTCATCGTAATGTGTGATTCACTTAGTAGCAAAAACGTTGATTTTGAGATGAAATAATATATTATTAATAAATAATAAATAAATATAAAATAATAAAAAATGAGAAAATAAAATTATAAATATATAAATAAATATATTAAATAATTATTAAGTTTAGAAAAATTAAAATCATAGATTAAATAAAAATTATAAAATTAAGAAGAGAATAAAAAGATAAAATTATAAATATATAAATAAATATATTAAATGATTAGGAAAAATCATACATTATACTACATTTACAAACTTTGAGGGCTCTGCTGTCTCACTTAGTTTTATAGAACAAAGGGAAAACCTAACAGACGATGTAAAAAAAACCTTGAAAATGAAAGTTTCTGTATCTCTGCTCCGAATGCAAACAGTGTCATTGTCATTTTGCTTCTCTTTTGAGTTCAAAGGCCTAAAGCGTGCGCATACTGTAATATTTGACATGATGCTTCAGGGAAAACGGTACTTCGCTGCAATTGTTGATTTAAACATGTCAACGGAAGAGATATTTGTACATACAATAATAAACGAGAGGAAGATTTAGAAGTTAGAAGAAATTTTAAAACAGATCAACGTTGTTTTTCAGATATAGTATCAGGTTTTTCGGCGAGTTAAAAAAAAAGGAAGATGCACGCGGAATCAAGCCGAGCAAATTTGTAGCTATCAAGTTTTCCACTAAACAAGTGTATCTACTCCATAAGTCAGTCATTAGATCATGCATTATTCCCCATTTTCGATTCTTATTAATTGCATTATAAGAGAGCAAATAACAGTAGTGGAATTTCTCGAAGCTTTCTGGTTCCTTGATAGCCTTTTCAGATGCAATCAGAAGTAAATTTGAAAACGCAGTAAGTCAATAACAGATGCACTTTTTCGGAAGTTGAATAATCGTGACCGGGCATACTTCTCTGAAATGCAATGCAACATCAATGATAATCTCACAATGTTAGACTAACTAGCCATTTTCTTCTTACATTTTCTCGGAACTTGAACAATGTAGCAATAAAATCAATTCGAAAGGAATAAAGAACATCATCATCCGTGGAAGAGAAAGGGAAAGAGAACCACCTTACCGATGGTGATGAACGGAGAGCTTGCCCGTAACGAAATGAAGTTGGCGTGATCTTTGATGGCGGGAAACAAAATAAGGCAATATCTTCCGTCAACTTGATGGCATATAAATGGGCCTATTTCTGGGTCGTCAAGTTTATAATTTTGATTAGAAGCCCAATCATTGGGGTATCACAATACATTTATTGTAGAATTATATTTGACTTTTACTTTATTTTCTTTTAAATAATTTTCTTATTGATGAGGTTTATTATGAATTTTATCTTTTAAATTATATAAAAATATTGTGATTATATATCATTAAAAGTGTAAAAAGCTGTTAAAAATTAAGCTTTATAATGTTTAATCCAATAAATTCATAAACAGAACATGAAAAACTTGATACAATATCATCTCACTTTATGATATATCAATGAACTGTATTAGGCATAAAGTGTCCACCAATATTCAACATACTTATAAGTGTTATTGAAACAAAAATACTTGGTAGGAAAATAGATATAGGATATAGACGAACATGTGGTAAAAGTAAAATTAATGGAGTAATCTCAAACAGTAATAATTTTTCACCATTTTTTATGTTTATTTGCACAATTCTATACATGAATTTTTAAACATGTTTTTTTTTTTTAATAAGTGACCAAGTAGTGTTTCGACCATTTATTGAAATTAAATTATTTTAATGACAATAGACTATAATTATAATTACCGGTCTCTATATATAAGTTTGCTGAAAGTATTTTTAAGATGAATATTTTTGTTTGAATAAAAAATAATTTTCACAAAAGAAAAAATCTGCATAAGAAATTGAAGGAAAAAAAACTATGAAAAAATAATCATAACAAATTTTCAAATGCACAATTTTTTTTTACAGTTTTTTTATTAAATGTCATGTTGGACCAATATTATTAATTAAGAATTTGATTATAATGATTACATGCAAAATAAACATTTTTAATTTATTAATAAATGTAATGTCTATTATATACATAGATATATTTCTTAGCATTTTGAAATAATTAGAGTTATTTAATTTACTTTTGTTTTTAAATTTTGAATTTTTATTTTAAATCAATAAATTAGAAAAAAATTCATTCGATAAATATATTCTAAAAAGTCGAAAAATGATTTTGATGATTATATGGTAATAAAAAATTGATTTTATATAATTATTGATAAAAAAATTTGATATTCATTAATAAAAATAGAAAATATATATATTTTTTAGTTTTTAAAATTTAAAAAACTGAAAAACAAAAAATATTTAAACAAACAAATTTATTGAAATTTTTTTATGAAAAAAGTTAAAATTTATTTTTAAAATAAAAATAATAAGTTATTATAGTTTATATATATATATATATATATATATATATATATATATATATATATGTATAATTTTCTCATATGTAATAAAAAAAAGGTTACGAAAGCCAAACCAAAGGTACACTATTAGTGTTTAGATTTTTATTAAAAAAATAAATTAATATACAATCCAAAATAACATTTCATACATATTATTTTAGATTATTTATTGATAATTTAGATTGTAAAATAATGATTTAAAAAAAACCATTAACGAGAATACCAAATTTTATCTGTGAATATAAATTATTTGAGTTATTTTATTACGTCTTTTATTTTCATTTTAAAACTGTTACAAATAAGTTTGATTATCATTAAAATAAAAATTATATATTTTTTAAAATATTCAGTTTTTTTAAGTAAAAATATATCAATATCTTTTTGTATTAGTTTTTTTATTAATACTTTAACTTTTGCGTAGAATATTTAATTTATTTTATAAATAATTTATTTTTCATAAAATATTTAAAATAAAATAAAATTTATCTTAAACATATTTTATTTATAAGATCAAGAATAATTTATATATATATATATATATATATATATTAATTTATAAAACTATAATAAATTATAATTCTAAAACAGATAATATTTTAATATCACAATTAATTCTAACAATTTTATCTTATCACTTTCATTCCTAAACTTAACTATAATATCATAACTTATGTCTTGAATATTTAATTAATTTATTTTATAAATAATTTATTTTGTATAAAATATTTAAAATGAAAAAAAAAAACTTTCTCAAACACTCTAAATATGCATCTTGATGCTACAGGGGTATATGTTTAGGTTTTAGCTTTTTACTTTCACAGTTTTGATTTGAGTGGGAACTATTTAGAACTTAAAAATAAATAAAAGTAAAATCTGTTTGTGAATGTTCATTTATTTAGACCGAAAATACCTTATAAAAATAAAATTTATATAAAAGAAGTGGAAATTTGGGACCACCACCATGCATCCCTTCCCTTGAAAGAAACATAGAGAATCTGCTCTGAAAGTTCCAGTGATTTAGTTACTTGCAAGTTGAAACTTGTACATATTATCAGCACAGGGGAACATTAATCTATCTATCCCTTCTATTCATCGACCCACCACAAGATCTCCACAATTGTTTTTGAAAATGGAACGAAAAGAACTTCGTCTGGGAATCTGCTACAAGCTCTGTTTTTTCATGATGAAAACTTTGGTTTCTCAAGCAATGAAGACAGTGACCTTAGGGAGTCCTTGGCATTGTAATTCAAGGGAGAAAAATAGCAAGCCATTGCAAAAGTCTGAATCCCTGGATCAACACGAGCATCAAGTTGGTTCTAATCTCAATGACTAACCAAACTCAATATTTTAATTTCGTTTGTAACGTTGATGTTGTGAATCAGAATAGGATCAGTTTTTCGATCTTATTTAATACATTATTATTATTATTATTATTATTATTATTATTATTATTATTATTATTATTATTATTATTATTATTATTATTATTATTTTTCTTTCAGTCTCCTTCGACATTGATCACATCTTAGAGAGTGGTAGTGATTAAGATTGAATGACGTTGTATTTTTTTAATCACATAATCGTTGTGAAAAATGTAAATTATTTTCTATTGTCATCCATTTTTTTTAAATAGGATGGATTGTTGAATTGGCGAATGTATTCGGTGGAAGTGGAAGTTTATTAAGGTTAAACAAAACAATGTTTTTTTTAATACTGTAATACTAATTTTTATCAAATAAAATATATAATAATATTTACAAAATATAATTATAATAAAAATAGTCGTTATTATCATTAACTATTATAATAAATATCATTAACATAAGAAGGAAAGACTAAATATTTTGATGTAGAAATAAGATAAAAATATTGTCGAAAAGATTAAAACTAATTTGTCTTTTTAAATAATTTTATTTAACTACAAAAATAATAAACTATTATTCGAAACTATGCTAGATCTGAATCGATTAATTCAATCTTAAAATTCCTTAAAACATAAATATTTTTTTAAATTTTTTTGTAATTCATACAGAAAATTTCAAAAAAAGCTTATAAAAAAAGAGAGAGTTACATATAAACAAATTTATGTATAGAAATGTGCTTATCCCAATTTTTCTTACACAATAAGAGGACCTCTATTATTTTTTTCCTTTTTTTTAATAACACAGTACTTATTTAAACTCTTAATATAAACACGTATAGTATAACCCATAAATTTATTTTCATTTATCAAATCATCTAACACGTTGGAAATAAAAATCAATAATTAAAAATGATTAAAACATGGAGCATTTTCCTGGTCTAAGTAATTAAAACAATAATCAACTACACGTATAACAATAAAGCATATTAAAAAAACATATTAAAATATATTGAAAAGTAAATATGTCAATGATAATTTATTCATTCCAAATGCATAAGGAGGGTGACATATAAAATTAGTTAATCTACACACAAATATTGTATTATTTATACTTCGCTTAAACACATGTCGCTTTGTGTATTTTCCTTTTATGGATCTTAAGAGTCCAAAAACATATTAATAAACTTCCATCGTTTCATAATTTCACTATTTTAATTATCAGCAAAGTATTACGAGGTTGAACAGTCTACAAAATATATTTTCATTATAAAACTGTTGAGAACTAATTTGTATAATTTAAAATTTATGTATGTCTAAATATACTGATTAAATCAATTTAACTCTAGATTGATAAATTAAAAAATTTTGTCTCAAGAAAATTCGAATATAACCAGCTCTCTTTTCAAAATTCAGAATCGTGCATAGTAGAAAAATATACACAAGACCATTCGAGAGAAAGTCAGTATAAGAAGAAAATATCACACCAATGCACCTGTGTGAATAAGAAAATGAGAAAAAAATATATGTACGACATGTTAAGTCGAAGTTTCTTGTTATATAGAAATAACGAAGTTAAATAATATAAATATATTATTTTAGAGTTTTAAATTGAGAGTAATTTCATATATTTTTTTATATGATTATTTATTTATTTTTAATTAAACCTAGATGTTAACCTGTATCATAGTATCTGAACTTTGGTAACAATATCATATACAAATTCAATTTGAATTCAAGCTATGAATATGGTGTGCAAAGAGGGAAAGAACCAGTTATCAAATCAGACTCTTACACCTATATAATTATTTTAAAACATAATCATTTTAAAATGATAGAATCAAACAAATTAGATTCAATGTATTGAATTTTAATATAAAAATCCTTTATATTTTTGTCCAATATTTTTTAATTAGCAATAGTCAATTATTTTGAATATTGAGTAAGTATTCTATAGAATCTCATTGTAAAAGTCACTTCACTTTTGTACCAAATTTTAATTCTAGCATCTAATAAGATTCTTTCGTCGTCCTTTATTCTGCCAAATCCATCATTAGATGTCATACTGTACATAATTATTATTTTTCCATGTATATACATTTCCTAATCAGTTTAAATAAGTCCCAAAACAAAGAACATTCCAGAATAACAAAGTCAGAGTGGTCAAATATAAAAATCTGCCTGATATTATTATAAAATTTAAAGCAGGAGCACTATTTTTATAAAAAAACAGAAAAAAGAAGAAGAAGCTCGAGCACTACCTGTGACTAGTGGTGACTGGAATATATAAGAGTATATAAGGGAAATGAATGAGGGAAGAGAATGGGTATTGGATCTGGCTGTTTGTTTTGTTCTCCATCATTCAGTGGGATTAGGATCAAGCCTTTGAGTTCATACATTTTTCCCTATTTCTCCTTCACCTTCAACCCTTACCAACCACACTCACTCTCCTTCCCTAAACTCATGTCTCAGCCATTATCTCTCAACTCTGCTCCTCTTCAAGAGGCCGAGGCTGATTCTTCCGCAGCGCCTCCCCTCTTCGATTATCACCATATCGACCAGAAACTGCTCGATAACATCGTTTACGATGCTCTTGTCTGGAGCACTCTCAACTGCCTCCTCGTTGGTGACAAATCTGTGCAGGTCAAACTCTGCCACTGTTTGTTTTCTCTGTATTACTTGGATTCGATTCCTTCTCTTTACAGAACTTTTGTCAAAAAACTCATCAACTTGTGAAAAACTTTTCATAGTCTAACATTATGCTGTATTAATGCTGGTATAATATGATTGCATGTCTAGTATGTAATAGTAAAATCCTAAAATAATAAAGAGCAAATTATACTAAAACTCTGATAGGTTTCTTGAGATTTTATATTGTATATTGTGTTTCTTAGTTAACATGAGTGAGTATAATCAACAGGGAGCTTCAGTGTAATGTTTATCAAAAAGTCGAGATTAAGTAAAAAGGAAAAAGAGTATCTGTGAGACAATGTGGCAACATTTTAGTGTCTCTGTCCATGACATTTGTTAGTACATTAATAGCATAAATAATAATAATAATATTATTATTATTATTATTATTATTATAGTAGTTTATTATTCATTTAGTCGTAGTTTGTTCTTAATATTACCTTTTGAAGACAGAATTTAACTCCTTGAAGCTAAATTTACTTCTAACCAAATTCTATTTTGGAGTAATACATGGAATTAGTCCTTCGAGTTATAAATACTGAGTAATTTATTTCTTTAAATTATGAATAATCATTTTAATTTTGATTTTACTGAATATCTATCGTTTTTATCTCTATGTTTATAATTTTAAGAACCAAATATGATATAGTTGGATAATTTTGGAATATAAGATGATATTTTGATGTTTACTATCAATGTTTACCCTTTAATAGAGATCAGCAACAGTTCCTGGTGTGGGCTTGGTGCATCTTCCGCTTTGCTTACTACCTGGACCGTTTCCTGAAACTCACTGGAAGCAAGCATGTGAATTAGCTCCTATTTTTAATGAACTTGTGGATCGGGTGAGTTTGGATGGGAAATTTCTCCAGGAATCTCTATCCAGGTAATATTTTCGTGTTGTTATATTACAGGGCACCGAATGAGTCAAGTTGTCCATACTTGTGTTGTGTGGTCAAGTTTGAGAAATGGTCACAATGTTTGGTCCTACAATGTCAAAATTGGGTCCTATGTGACCCAATTCTCTCACAGTCCTTTTCAAAATAATCTGTATTTGTTAACTTACTTAACTTTCTGATGCTCTTCGTGGGACTTGTTCCTTTTGAATTACTTTTATACTTTACTATGACAATTAGTTCTTGAATCCATTTCTCAACTTCACCTTTCAACAACTGCTTTGATTTGATGCCATGAGTACTTACATTTGCTTGGAATCTTTGGTTCTGTCAACTCAGTAGTTTTTGGCTTTAATTAGATATAATATTACTCTGTTCATCCTTATGCAGAACTAAGAGTGCGGATGAATTTACCTCAAGACTATTAGATATCCATTCCAAGATGCTACAGATTAACAAAAAAGAGGTAAGTGTATATTGGTAGGACATTTGTACAGCCGAGAGTATTATCAGAGGATCAGTTTTAGTGCCTACTCCAATTGTTATTCGTTTTAAACAACTAAAACATGGGTTGTCAAAGGAATTTTTCCTGGTCTTTAATTTTCTCTTGTCATTATTTTAACAGGATATTCGCTTGGCAATAAGTCGTTCAGATTATATGGTTGATGAGAAGACTAAATCACTTCTGCAAATAGAGATGAACACGATTTCAACTTCATTTGCTTTGATTGGATGTCTTATGACTGGACTTCATAAGTAAGTAGTTACTGTAAATTTCACGTATTGTGCTGTCATGTCCAGTTTATAACTTTTATGTTCTTTGTTTTATTGGGCCTATGGATTTCTTTAGGCAAATGTCTAAATTTTCATTGTCAATAACTATACACTCGTGTCTAGGAAAACATTTGAAGTTTAAAGTGGTTAGAAATCAAAGTTTATTTGGAGACCATAAAACATTAACATATAATCTGTCCATCTTGAAGTTATTCACATGAACTCTGATGGTAGATTTTCATTTGAAGGTAAATTATTATGTTGATATGTATCATGATATTATTTGGTCTTTCTCCAGGAGCTTAATTTCTCAATATGGAAATATCCTTGGACTGGATTCCAATAGGGTTCCTGCAAATAATGCTGTCGATCAATCTGCAGATGCTTTGGCTAAAGGTTGGAGTGAGTATAACAATCCCAGGTCAGTTTGGAGAGAAAGGGTTCATTTTCACTTTCATTTTCGGTTCTGCCAATACTTTTGGTTCCATTGCCGTATTTCTAAATGGATCTGTACAGGGGTGCAATTTTGGTCGTGGTTCAAGTTGAAGAACGAAACATGTATGAGCAGCATTATATTTCTGCCCTTCTAAGAGATAAATATCCTTTTCTTGTTAGTTATAATTATGATACCGAAGGAACAATCTAGCAGAGCAGACTGTAATTTGCATTATTAAGGCTATCAAATGTGATATAAAAGGGTATATAGACATGTTTTTATGTAAGGAAAACTACTGTAGTTTTTATGTCCGTACATATGTGTTGTTAGAGTTATTTTCCTTAGCTTTATGATACGCATCGTATTAAAAGCATACGGAAAACATTGGCACAAGTTGATAAGGAAGGAGAAATTCTGCCAGATGGAACACTTTCTGTGTATGTAAACTCTATCTTCAAAATCAGGCTTTCTTCTACAGGTTTTTGGCTTAATTATATTTTGTTTCTAACGGTAGGGAAATATAATTTATTGGAACTTGCAGGGACGGACACCCAATTTCTGTTGTTTACTTCCGGGCTGGCTACACACCAAAAGACTATCCTTCAGAATCAGTGAGATACATGACTTCAGTTTTGTCGCAGCTCAGTTTTCTATTGACTAAAACTTCTTTTTCAATAATTAATAAAGAATTAATCCACTAAACCAATTATATCTCGCTACTATTAGGAAATGATACTGTACCGACAACTTATATTTTATTATCCTATCTGGTAACCAAACTTCTTTTAATATTCTGAAGAAAAGTAATGATGAATACTACTTTTGGGTCCTATAATGTTTGTTTTAAAAGCAAAATTCATTGGAGATTGGTCAGTGCAACATGGTTTCTTCTATATTACATCCCAATGTATGGACTATCTCTATCATTTTACTTTTTGTACATTTAGCTCAATTATTTCTTAAACCAACTAGATCTGATCTACTTTTGTTTTATCCTACCTCAACCTTTCTATTCCATGGATTATCATCTACCATAGATTTTCTCAACTATATAATATGTTTCCTGCTTAAGTTGCATTATTTTTTAATTTTAATGAGCCTTCTTTCTAACTTTTAAATGAGTTCTTCTGGTATTGGGTATATCTTGTTCGATGTGTAGGAGTGGAGAGCTAGGTTACTGATGGAACAATCTTCTGCTATCAAATGCCCTTCAATATCTTATCATTTGGTTGGCACCAAGAAGATTCAACAGGAACTTGCAAAACCTGGTGTTCTTGAGAGGTATCTTATGATTGATATTCTTATCTTTTCTAACCTTATTGCATCCTTTATGCTTCTAAATCCGTTGATAAATTCACAGATACTCTTTGTCTAACGAAAGGTGTAAAATGCACTATTGTGAGTGAGTTATTGTCTTAAGATTTTATCCTAGTGCTCTCCAGTCCATGCCTTGCTTAGTTGGTTAATGGTGATATGATTGTAACCCCTATGGCCAAAATGTTTTTGTTATACCTGGACAGTAGTCCAGTTGGACTCCATTCGTTAAGTTAAAAAGGTTTTTTGTCTCAGAGTGAGATCCTTGAGAGTGTTGCCGGAACCTGCACATCATTCTTGTATTTCTTAGGTTAGCCAATATCGACCACACGCAAGAGTGCTGGGTAGGGGAAAGTTGGAAGGTTTGGGATCATAGAGTTATTTTATGAAAATGTAGATTTATAGGAAGAAAATAGTTTGTTATTAGTGTTATCAAGAAAACTGAATATTCACGAATGAATTTCAGAAGGTATTTATGAAAGAGGAAACTGCTGCAATAAGCATTGGATTCAATGAACTAAGGGCAGAGATCTAAATTAAAAAAAAGCTTTATTTAGTGGTTGTGAGAAAAAAAATTAAAATCAACCTGGGAGATTGAGTTAACAGAGGAAATTAATATAAGGACGTTTTAACTGATGTGCTTTCATATACTGTTCTTTTTTTTTTTACTTTTATGTTCCATTTTTTTCAATGCCACTTTTAAGGATAATATTTCAACCTGGGAGATTGAGTTAACAGAGGAAATTAATATAAGGACGTTTTAACTGATGTGCTTTCATTGACTGTTCTTTTTTTTTTTTTTTTACTTATATGTTCCATTTTCAATGCCACCTTAAGGATAATATTTCTTCATGTCTCTCAATATAGGAGGGGAAAAAAGAATATAGGGTTTACGTCTCAGAAGCAAAATGTTCTGGATGATGATGAAAATGCATTGTGTTTTCATAATTACATTCGTACTTTCGATTTTGGTTTAAGGAACTAGAAATTTGTCATTTGTTCTAAAAGTTTGGGAGAAGAGTATATAACAAATCTCCCTTCTCAGCAAATTTGTTCTGTAACTATTTTGTTCATTTGGTCTAATCATAGTTTGCTTCTATGATTGATATCTCTTCCTAATCTTTGATTCAAAACTGTAAACAGGTTCGTCGAAAACAAAGACCACGTTGCCAAATTGCGTGCATGTTTTGCAGGTTTGTGGAGTTTGGAAGACTCGGATATTGTTAAAAAAGCAATTGAAAGTCCGGAGTTATTTGTGATGAAGCCTCAAAGAGAAGGAGGAGGTCTTATATTAAACTTTAATTCAACAATTTGTTGGAAAAAACTTCTGGGAGAGAGACTTACATAACGAGATGTAATTACTTTTCAGGAAACAACATTTATGGTGATGATTTGAGGAAAACCCTCCTTAAATTACAGGAAGCTGGTTCTCAAGAAGATGCAGCTTACATTCTCATGCAGAGGATATTTCCAGCTCCTTTTCCAGCAATTATGGTGCGTGATGGTAATTGGAGTACGGGTCATGTCATTGCAGAAGCTGGAATATTTGGTACTTATTTGAGGTACATTGCTTAGCTACATAACTATCATACGTCTGTGCTTAAATTTTGCAAGACCCTTGACATCAATGGACTGGAAATTGCAGGAATAAGGATAAAATCATCATTAATAACGAAAGTGGCTACATGGTGCGTACAAAAGTATCATCATCTAATGAAGGTGGAGTTTTACCTGGTTTTGGAGTGGTAGATACTGTGTACCTAACTTGATGGAGCAAACCCCCCGAGTTATCACATTCACGGCAATTGGTTTACATAAATCACCTTAAGTCTCCTCACTCCAGATTACTTTTTTATGTTTCCTAAAACAGTGAAACAAGAGATGTATTCTTGTTTCTTTTACTTTTTCCTGTGGAATGGTGTCTAATGATCAAATGTACTCAACTACCTCTTCAATGGTGTCTTTTTGATTCTAACCAATAAAGTCTATGAACTGTTCTCCCCACGTTGCACATTTCTGCCTCCTTTTGGCAATGTGAAAAGGAACTGTTAATTGTTTGAGATTAAGGGTATATGGATTATGTAGTAACCGCAAATGTGGCAAGTGGGGATCAAATTTAGACTTAAAAACATATTTTCAATTTAGAGACTCAACTGACACGACAGTTTAAAAATTTAAAGGATTAATGTAACATGTCATATTTTTTTAAAGGAAGAAAGCATATTTTATCTTCAATTAAAGATCTTCAAAAGACATTTTTAGAGCAATCATTGCTGTAAAAAACAACTCTTAAAGTAATCATTACAAAAATCAGTTATTAAAAATTATACGAGAAATTATGATTAAATGTGAGAGTTAATATTTTATGATATCAATTATATTGAGAAAAAATAAATCTTTACTAAAAAATGTTCAACTTTAATATATATGAATCCAACTTTCTTTCCTTGTAAATAATTTAAAATTTGTTCTCTCTCTCTCTCTCTCTCTCTCTCTCTCTCTATATATATATATATATATATATATATATATATATATATATATATATATATATATATATATATATATATATATGACTTTTAAAGTATTCTTGAAGTGAACATCGTTTCATTACATAACAATCCATTATTGGGTGATATATTGTAGATTAAAAAACATTAAATTGTGAGTATGTACATTTCAATTAAATTCTTATATATTAATCAATTAAAAAGATTGCTTTCAATACATTCAAAGATTATTATATATATTTTTTAATGTTGGTGTAGTAATCTGAAGGCGTATGCAACTACAAAAAATTATTAATATGACTATGAAGCAATTAAAAAAAAAAGGATTCAGCATCCACAACATTGCAATTTTAAGAAAATTGTTTGGAGTGACGTTGTAAAATAGCTTTGGTTTGAATTTGAAGAAATCAGAGGACTCTGATTATGTCACTCATTTAACCTCTTCATCAACATAAAAGCCATTTTCAATAATCCAAAAACAGAAGCAAGCCATTTTAATTTTTAATTAAAATTCAAGTTAAAGAAGATTGTAACTCATGTATTCTATTTGAAATAAAAATGCTATAAAATATTTACATATTTTATTTACTTTTTATATTGATTTACTTTTTTTTTATACATGAATGAAATATACTTGTCACCTTTTTGGATATATTTTTAAATCATATTTTGTTAATTTTCATTTTATTGAATATGTTGTATATTATTAAGATAAAATTCTAAATATGATAAAAGAAAATCAAGTTAGGCAAGTGTTTGCCTCAAGTTAATTGTAGATTATATTGCAACAAATAATTAACCATAGGGCCATAAGTAAAACTGATTGTCTAACAATTTTAAATATTATATTTAAAAAATATATAAATATTTTCAAATTGAATAACATGATAAACCATATAAACGTTGTATTTATTAAATTTTTATTTTACAAATTTTAAATTAATTAATTTATATTTTTTTCAATATTATATTTAATATATATAATTAATATTCAAATTAAAAAACGAGGTAAATACTAAATTCATTAAATATAACATGCTTTTTGAGGATGAAATATAATATGATTGTTAAAAGAGTAAAAAAATAATAAATATATTAAACATGATAACTTCACAACTACAATATGATAAAAAGGATAAGTCTCTATACACGTGAGAAAGACGAAATCATATATCATATATAAAAAAGATAATAACAGGAACGAGTCTCTATACACGTGAGAAAGACGAAATCATATATATGTTAGTGGAAAATCGAGAAAAGCGATCGAAAATGAAGGAAAGGAAAGAGAGAACACGTGACTGATAAATCAAGATAGATAAAAAACCATTCGATGTCTAAGCACGTAACACATAACATCGAGAAGTACAATCGAGAATCGAAGGAATGATAGTCAAATGCCTATTGTCGAATAAAAACCTAAGAAACTAGAATGATAAGACGTTAAGGTTGAAAAGGAATCGTAAGCAATTCGAAGTTCTCGAAAGTGTAAAATCGAAAATGAAGAAAGCTAACCTACACGGACATCGAAAACTTTGGCCAAACCATAAAGAGAAGAGTAAGTCAAACGCACGGATAGAGAGCAGTTTCGAAACCATGGAGGAAATCGAAGATCGTGAGAACGTGAGAAACCGTAGAAGATAAACCGCCATATGCACGTAAAACGTGGTAGCAGTCGTGTTAACTGCTCTTGGAAGACTTGAACGATGCACTATAAATAGAGCAAAGAAGGAAGAAATAAGAGGCGAGAAATTGGCGAGAGAACGGAATCGGTAGTGAAAAGTCTACCGGAGAAACGACGAACACCATGAAGCTTCTGGCAATCTGGATTTCCTTGCTCACTGAGTACATTTACCGCTTTCTGTATTTTCCTTGGTAATTTACTTTGATGCAACTTAAATTCAGCAGTTTTATGTTTCTGTGTTTTCGATTCCTGGTCATTTCAATTCAATGAAAGTTTAAATTTCTGCATTTAAGTTTCCCTGTCATTTACTTTTCTTGCAATCTCGATTTCCTGTCATTTACTTTTCTTGCAATCTCGATTTCTTGTCATTTATTTTTCTTACAATCTCGGTTTCCTGTCATTTATATTTGCACTGTTTTCGATTTCTTGTCATTTACAATTAATGTAAATTTGGGGTTTTCGCACTTTACATTTCCTCGCAATTTAATATTCTATTTCTCGATTCGATATTTTTACTGTGTTCGGTATTTTAAATATAAAAAATAGCATTTTCGATATCCTGTAACTTTCGATTCTTATACACGTTTTCGATTGAAAGTCAAATTGCTAGCCTAAGTAAAAAGAACTTACGTGGGAGGATTTTGATTAGGACCAAAACACCTTTAGAATCGAAATCGATCGAAATTCCACCAGAAACAAATTGGCGCACCAGGTAGGGGTTACTTGTGTTGAAAATCACAAAATTGGTTAGTCCGAAAGTGTATGAGATTAAGGAGTGGGAGAGTTATAAGAATGAGTCAAAATTCTTCAAATAACCAGAGTAACAGTGAGGGTCTGACTGGTGTACATTCACCAAATACTGGGGGGCAAAGTCATAATGAGAATATGCCTGTAACATCGACGACTACAAGTATGTCGATACCTGTGGGTAACGAGCTAAATTCAGGTACCCTAGCAAATACCCAAGTAGGATCTAGTGTGGTAGTACCAAATAATATGCAAACTGTGGGAAGCCCCACAACTACATATGTAGGGCCACATATGAGTGTAAGACCTCCCGAGTTTTCACTTAATAACATGAGCGGGGCTGGAACTTCTTCAACACAGCGGAATTCGAGATATAACTTAGGAATGCCTCAAACGCTGGGCATGCCCCAGAACTTTGGAGTCCCTCCGAATTTAGGAACATCTCAAAACTTAGTAATCCCTCAGAATTCAGGAAGCGGACAGAATTTAGGCACACAACAGACGCTTCCAAATCTAGATCATAGAGGAAATCTAGATCATAGAGGAAATTTGGAACATGGAAGATATACATTCGATAGAGATTATCATCGATCCAATTTTGAGACTATCGAGAACACTGGTACTGGGATATCCAGTAACTCATTAGGGATACTTAGACAACAAATGGATGAGAGCAATTTTGAGATGGTGAATATGTTATCCCAACAGTTGACTACAGTCTTAAACCCATTAGTTCAAAACACTACAGCTAGTTTTGAGATATTAGCAGATCAAATGTCACGAATCGGGGATGCATTGGCTGTGCCTCGACGAACAAGGGTAGAAAATCATGCTAACCAGAATGCCAATATCAATCCCCCATATCTTTTAAGGAGAAATCGAAACAATGATCAACAAATGGGGAATGAATACCAACATGGAAGAAATGATATTTATGGAAATATGAATGAGGGATTTCAAAATATGTATAATCAAAATAATATGCAAAATAATCACATGTTAGGACAAAGGATGAATTTCCAAGGGATAGAATTTAGACCACCCAACCAAACATACTTTGTGTCTCCTTTTCCAAACACGATTCTCGAGACGGAATTACCTCGAGGATACAAAGTACCTAAATTCACCAAATTTGCTGGAGAAGTTAGTGAATCAACTATCGAGCATGTAGCTCGATATCAGATCGAATGTGGAGATCTCGCGATGAGTGAAGAATTAAAAATGAAATATTTCCCTAGTTCTTTGACTAAAAATGCTTTTACTTGGTTTACTTCGTTGCCACCCAATTCGATATATAATTGGCTGCAACTGGAAAGAAATTTTCATGAGCAATTCTTTAGAGGAGAAACTCAAGTAAGTCTCATCGACTTGATGAATATAAAGAGATACAATCATGAAAGCATAGATGATTATTTGAATCGATTTAGAAAAATGAAATCGAGATGCTTTACTCAAATTCCTGAATATGAATTAGTCAGAATGACCTCTGCAGGTTTAGAATTCTCGATTAGGAAAAAGTTAGTCAATTTACCATTGAATGATATGGCTCAGTTAACTGATAAAGTAAGAAGAGTAGAACAAATCGAATATGAAAAACAAAGATATAAGAAATTTGAGAAACCGATGAAGAAAGAAAGAATAGCATATATAAATGATTTGTATGAAACAGATCCCACGACAGAGAATGATGTGGAAGAGACTGTCGATGAGAAAGTAAACATAGCAGAGCTCAAAGTAGGAGCTCCGTATATCTGTAAAATGCTACAAAAGAATGAAGTAAAAGATCGAACATATACTTTCGATGTGACAAAGGCTGATAAAATCTTCG